GCTGCCTCGTTTAGGAATATAAACCACCTTTTTATGCACTGGGTTTTTAAAGGATAGCACCAGGAAAAAGGAGGGACACCTTCTGATACTGTATCAAATCCAACAATGGTGTTTTTGATCAGAATTTGGCCGCTGTCCAGGTTTTAGACGTTTCCACACATGAACACACTCACCATACAAACAGAAGCAAAGAAACACTGAACACACACATCCCCTCTGGAGTTTTTCACCTCGAGTGGCTGCTTGTTTGCACCTTTTTTTAGAGGCGAACCGGCTTTGTGGTGCTGAAAATCCAGAACTGGATCTTAAGGTGCCTTTGTAAGCTGCTTATCGGGCTTCGTGGCGCCAAACTCAGGCCTTAGATCGAGATCTCTGTTAGAATGAGGTAAACCAGAGGACATGACCCTGGATTTGAGTCCAGTAGAGCCTAAAAGTGGCGTCCATTTGATTCTCCTTTTAACAGAAGGCGTTCTTTCATTTTGGCTTTTTGTTACACAAAGCTTTTAAAGTTTTGACAGAGAAAAAGCAACAATTGATTAATTTAAACAGCCGGTAAAAAGCAATGACTGTAGCTTCAGCTGTAGTTTGTTAGTACCTGTTTATCTTTAATTAAAAAAACCTGTATATATCACTTTGTGTGTTACTTAAAAAGTAAAAAAGAGTTTGAGACACTGTTTGAATATAAAGTAAAATAACAATTATAAATTCCATAAATACATTTTTTATTCAGTTGGAAAATATTAAGCTAATTACAACAAAATGTGGACACGTCTCAAACAAGGTGGATGTTTTCCACTGTAGCCTCTTCTTTAACATCAGGCTGTAAACATCTGGATCTGATGGAACCAGCTGCTGAGGAACATGTTTTTAAAAAATATTTATGAACAGGTTCAGGATGTGTTTTCCTAATTTTTTTTGGTCTTTAGTCATAGTTTTTCCTCTCATCTGGAGCTTCATTTCAATAACAAACACCTGATAAATGATGTCATAAACCTACTTTTATGGCAGCCAATGGCTGCTTTCCTCACTGTGAACATCTGGATCATGTCCACATGTGGCTTCTTCTTTTCCGACCGAGCCTTTACTTGAGTTCGTTGGCGATTTCCAGGACAGAATCGGGTCCGTTTTAAATCCAGAGAGATGCCTGAGGGCCTGAAGGCCGCTGCCATTTTCTCTGAATGTCACTGTCTAATTAGAATAAATTCAGTTTTCTTCCTGTTCAAGCATCAATAATTTATCTCTGAAATCCAATAATGAGTGGGGTGAGTTTTTCTGTCTGGAGCCAAACAGAAGCTGGTTTTAAAGCTCTGCTCTCTCCTCTCTCAGATCTGTCGGCGCGAGTCGACGCCGTCAAAGAGGAGAACCTGAAGCTGAAATCGGAGAATCAGGTCCTGGGTCAGTACATCGAAAACCTCATGTCTGCCTCCAGCGTCTTCCAGACCACCGACACCAAGGGCAAGCGGAAGTGAGCCGGGCCCCGCCGCCGGGACGACCAGATGGGGTTTGTTTTTTTTAGTCCCAACTAACCGTGTAAATATTAAGACGCCAACTAACTAAAACTGACCCTCAGTCAGCTCTGAAGTCCCCGTGTGGCCGGTCCTCTCCAGGCCGAGGACGCCGACCCTTACTCACTAACGCACAGCGGTCTGCGGGCGACTTCCAATTGGACTTTCTCGATTCTCCGTCAGAAAAATGTTTGTAAAGTAACTCCCATCTGGAGGGTTTCCCCTTTAAGGACTCATTCGACTTCCTGTGGACTTCAAAACATTTCGAGGTTACGTTTAAATGCACCTTCTCGACAAGCACCGGTTTATTTTTTATAAAGTACCGATCAGAGTCTTGTGTTGTTTTTAGAGCTCATGAAACTGGATTTTTTTCTTTAAAGCTGTCCGAAGCAACAGTGTTACAGCAACTGGAAATGTTTGTGAGATGGCATGTAAAAATAGACTTAGACCTTTTGAGACGTAACTAATCAGTAATCTGTGATCAAACTGTATAAAGCTACTAAGAACTATTTAGCCAGGCGGTGGATCCTCGTTGAAGCGCATTAACTGAAATAAACTAAATCTGTAACCAGAGTTGTTAGAAATGACGAGAGCTTCTTTAACTGAGGAGAAAAGTGGAAAAGGCAAAGCCTGGTTTGTTCCACCCAAAGTTAGAGACGGCAAGCTTCACATTTAATCGGAAAACAACTAAATGCTGCTTTAACGAAAGCTATGGAAACATTACTTTGTAATTTATTGAGGTTGTTTGATGTTTGAGAGCTGTACCGTTTTATCTTGTATTATTTATCTACCATGCTCGATGCCCCTCCCCACCCCACCTCAAGGTATTTTTTTTATTTTAATAAAAACCAAGATCACCTCTGTCTGAGTCTTTTATCTCCTGCTCACATTATAACAACCAGACCCAAAAAGAGCCTCCACCTCAGATTGGGTCCTGGAACAAAGAGGCCTCGTTTCCGGTCTCAGAAATAACAAACGGCGGGTTCTTTGTCCCGTTTTCGGCGAGACTCCTTCAACCAATCGTCTTTGTATTAAATAATTTTATTTCCAAGAGCCACATACAGTCTGCAAACAAATGTAAACAGGAACATCTGCCCACATCTGGCGGGAGGGCGAACTACAAAAAGCTGGAGACGACAATCATAAAAAAAAAAGACCACAAATCAAAGTCGTTGAAATGAGTCCGTTTCCCAGGCAACAGGCTGAGCGGCGGCGTCCTGGGAAAAGGCCGAGAGGCGTTCGCTGTCCGGCTAAAAGCTGCGTCCGAGTCGCTTTACAAGCGTCTAACAAACGGCGGCGGCGTGTTTCAGTCTGTCGAACGGTCGCGTTTCTCCACACCGGCCGGAACAACGCGGGAACGGACGAATAAATAAGGTCGGCGGTAAAAAAAAAAAACAGTGATGCTCGTAACAAACCGGCTGAGATCTAAAACAGAAAAACCCCTTTTATCTCTCTCTCTCTGAGCTGAGGCCTCCCCCACAGCGCCGGCGTCCCCCCCCCCACCCCCCAAAACCCCCAAAAATGGCGTGAGTACACGGGAACTTTGCCTTTAAGCCCCGAACGTCTGAGACGTCGGCTTTAGGGCGGAAACGAGAGCAGAGGAGCTCCTGAGAGCGAGCAGACGGGAGGAAGAGGACAGGAGGAAGAGGAGGAGATGTGGGACTGCAAACCTGGGTGGGTGGCGGTGGGGGGGGGGCGGGGCCCGCTCTCTGGGGGCGGGGCCTGAGGCTCCGCCTCCTCGGCGTCAGAAAGAAAGAAGGCAGCAGACGAGGCTCGGCCTCCTCAGTCTTTCCGTACCCTCCTCTTCCTCACGGCCTGTTTGCTCCTCTCCTCGGCGTCGTCTCCGGCGTCCTTCTGTGGCGAAACAATAAGAAAATAAAGAATATAAATAAAGAATAAAGAAACAAAGACAAAAAAATGAGGAAAAAAGCGTGACGGAGTGGGGATGTTTTACACCTCTGCTTCATAAGTGGCCAAAACAGAAGGAGACGGTCAGATTTCCTTTAATCTTTTAGCTCTAAATGGCTTTTTTTTCTTATATTTTTCTAATTTTTGGACATTCAACCCTGATTGTTGGATCAATAAATCCAAAGTGACTCACTTTTCTTTTTTCTTTTACTCTTGAAATCATTTTTTTGCTTGAATACTTTTTACTATTGAGTCATTTTACTCAAAAGTAACTAAACCCTTTGGCCACTGTGCCCATTAAAATGATGCATTTGTCCCATTTTCTCTTCAGGATCCAGTAGGATGAATCATGGTGAGTTTATCTCGACTCGTTCGGCTGCACTTTGTTGGCTTTTAGCCCCAGAGAGGAGCAGCAGGTTCTGCTTTTATTCAGTTTAATAGCTCCTGAGTAGTTTGGCTCTTGTGTTTCCTCCTTTACCAACCTTATCTCCAAATGTTCTCTCTGGCTCTTTGCTTTCCTCCTCTCCTCCCTCTTCTTCCTCTTCCTCCTCCTCATCCTCCTCTTCTTCTTCTTCTTCTTCGTCCTCGTCCAGCTCTAGGTTGTCCCCTCCCGGACCTCCGTCCTCCATCTCACCCGCCTCGGTTTCTTTAGGAGAAGAAGAAAAAGGCAGAGCTCATATTTGTGGTGTTTCTTTGATTCCAGATTACATTTTCTGAGCTCGATCATCCTCGATCCTCATCAGACGACAGATTTCCCCAGTTTGTTCGTGTTCTTCATCGGTCACATCGACATTATTTTAGTTTACCGTCTTGTGTTTGTTCAAATTTAATTTTGGGAACTCGCTTAATGTCCCAGCGTCGAAAAGGAAGAAAAAAATAGCTACTTCCCGTTTGAGAGTTTACGGTTTAACGGAGAAAGTGCGAGAGGGTCAAAGGAACCGTTTGGACTGTGTGTGTTTATGGAAATCTGGGAAGTTTACAGCAGACTCCCAAACCGTGCTGCAGCCTCGTGACCACCGAGCTGCAAGTGGCTGTTTGAATCCAGCGGGGTGGAACAAACTGGCCGCTCTGGTTTTTGCTTCTAGGAGTTTTTTCGTTTACAACCAGTCTGGATCTTCCCCAGAGCTGAGAGCCGTCCTGTTTATCCGAACAGGAAGCTGGAAAACCGGCCGGCGGTGGGCGGAGTCACACCTTGGGATCCAGTTTTTTTCACTTCCGATCTGATACCGATCCCGACCAATCAGAGCGTGTATTAAAATTATTTATCTACTTACTTAGTTGTCAGACTCATGTTGAACAGAGATTTACTCTGATAACAACTTAATGGTTAGGACACAAACTTGTGGGTTAGCAGATGCTAATGCTAATGTGGGATTGGACTTTAATAAAAACTGGATCTGGAGTCTGGATCTGCCTTTTTCTCCTGCCAGCCGATACACAGTTTTTAAAAATATCGGTGTCCGATCTGATCCAGATATCGGATCGGGACCAGCTTAATCTCACCTGGAGCTGCCGGCTCTGCCTCCTCGGCCGCTCTGTCTTCTTCTTCTTCTTCCTCTTCTGCCGCCTCCTCCTCCTCCTCCTCCTCTATGTCGGCCCGGGAGAGGTCGGCCTTTTTGTACGCGTACTCCTCGTCTGCTTTCTGAAACCCAGATCACAGGGAGCTGCCGTTAGCCGGGGGCCGACCGGGGCCGTTTCCCCGGCGTCTCCGGGGGGAACGGGAGCTTCCTCGGTTACCTTGGGCCAGCAGAAGATCACGGCCAGCCCCACGGGCAGCCCCGCCGTCAGGACGTATATCACCCACAGCCAGGGCCGCTCCTCCGCCGCCATCAGCAGCTGCGCCACGATCCCCGGCTGTGGAGGACAGGGCCGGACAAGTCCGCCAGGAGTAGGGCTGTCACGATACTGACATTTTCAACTCGATACCGATACTCAGGAAAATATTCGATACTCGGTCCAGTTTTGATACCAAAAGGATAAAACCAAAGACCCCAAAATGTATTCATTTTGACAGGTTAGTGTCTTTTGTTTCAAACCTGTTACGGATGTTATGGTGGCCGCTAGCCCGGATTAATGACCCTGACCCTAACCCTAACCCACATTATGGACCCTAACCCTAACCCTGACCCCTAACCCTCCACTCTCAATTGTAAGAAATAAATATTTTTTGGTTAAACTTGTTTGGACTTATTGTACAAACCTATTTAACATCCACTATTTTAACATAATATTAAGTATAGAGTTGAATTGAGTGTTTGCAAGATTAATTTCACTATTTTCAAATGAATGTCTATATTGCCATGAAGCAATTAGGATTTTCTTGCCTGGGACCTTCCTATTGGTGACCTAATCAAAATGGCCGACTTGGATGTGGGGGAGTTGGATATCCATTCTTGGCTTCCTGCAGCCAGACGTACTTGATTAATGTCGGCGTGTTGTTATTAGCCATTAGCCGCAGCTAGCAGTTCAAGGCTAACGTCAATCAGAGAGAAGGGGCGAAGGGCCTTTTGAAAAGTAGTATCGTATCCGGATTCAACGTTTGAGTATCGATACTTTTAACAACCCTAGCCAGGGGGGGGGGGGCGCCCACCTCGTTGGCGCTGGCCACCAGCTTCTTCAGCCCCCAGCTGTCGGAGGCCCAGCGGTCGGCCACCTCCTTGTGGGAGGTGAGGATGAAGTTGTCGAAGTAGATGTCCGAGGTCATGGACCACAGCTCCAGGCCCAGAGCCCGGACCGCCGCCATCCGGAACGGCTGCAGGTCCTCGAAGTAGTCCGGGTTCTGGATCTTACGCGGCTTCCAGACTCCCTGTGGGGTCAGAAAACAACTCGATTGAAGGAGAAGGGCTCACATTTCTGCATTTTTACAGGCCTGCTCTGATCATAAGTAAAAAGGTAAAAAGGGGGATTAACAATTGAGCATCTTTTAAAGCTCATGGTACAGAAACAGTTTGCAAAAAGAGAGAAAAGTTAATGGTTAGTTTGTTATGAGAGAGCTTCTTAAAGGTGGGGGGGGTTTAATGGGGCCCCTGAACCCGGCTTTAGGGGTCAATGAGCTGCTGTTTGATGGAGCCGAGACCCTCTGGACCACTTCCTGCTCTCATCATAAGTAAAAAAGTAAAAAGCAACTGAGCACATTTTAAAGCTCATGTTACAGAAACAGTCAGCAGAGAGAGAAAAGTTCATTTGTTATGATGTTTTTCAGGTATTTTCAATCAGATACTGTTCAGTGATATTGTGTTCTCGGTGAGTTTCCCTATGTCCGGCGCTCGTGAACGCATCATAAGCAGTGATTGTGCCACACCTGTTGTGTATTGTTTACCTGGATATGGCTAATGCTAATGCTAATGCTGCCGTGGTGTGCAGCAGCTAAGCTAATCGGACCAAATAAGGGGGGGGTTAATGGGGAAGGGGCCCCTGAACCCGGATTTAGGGGTTGAGCTGCTGCTTGGTGGAACTGGGACCCCCTGGACCACTACCCAGTCCACCTCCTAAACCATCTCTAGGTCCACCTGTCCCACCTCCTGACCCACCTCCTGTCCCACCTCCCGGTGAGCCTGAGCTGTTACCTGGTAGTTGGGGTTGTCCACCAGCGGGGCTTTCCATTTGCCTTTGTACAGAGGGTTGTTGATCGTGGGCCGCTTCCACACTCCGCAGCCGGGGGCCGTCTCGCAGGCCGGGTTGGGAACCTGCGGGGCCTCCCACTCCCCGTCCATCTCCTCGTCCCTGGCGGACACCGATGGACACACAGCGATGAGCGTCTGAGCTCCACCGTTTACCGAACGCAGCCGGGGGCTCTTTACCAGTCCTCCGGTTTCTCCGCGTTGGGGTCGGGGACAAACTCCGGCTCATCGTCCAGCCAGCCTTCTGGTTTCAGAGCGTCGGGGTCTTCAATCTTTGCAGGTGCTTCCTCATCCCTGTAAAACACCCCAGAACACCGATTACCCACCAGGGGGCGCAAACGAGCTGACTCAGCCCATCAGAGTGGTTAAAAAGGCAGAAAAATGCCTCGTTTGAGCCACAATCAAACAGCTAAAGGCCGGTTTGGTGGTTTACCAGTCCTCGGGCTTGGCCGCCTCGGGGTCGGGGATCTTGGCCCGCTCGTCCCAGTCGTCCGGTTTGGAGTCGTGGGGGTCGTCGATCTCCTTGGGGGGGTTGACGGGAGGCACCACGTCGCTCAGCAGGCTGCCGCGGCTCACGCTGGCCTGGTCGATCAGCATCTCGTAGCTGTTGTCTGGGTTCAGGACTGAGGGCACAAACGGAGTGAGCCACAGCGCCCCCAATAGGGGCTCCACAGCACCCCCAATAAGGGTTCCACAGCCCCCCCAATAAGGGCTCCACAGCACCCCCATAGGGGCTCCACAGCACCCCCAATAAGGGCTCCACAGTGCCCCAATAGAGGCTCCACAGCGCCCCCCATAGGCTCCACAGCGCCCCAATAGAGGCCCAACAGCGCCCCCCAGAGGCGCCCGGCGGTGGGGACCCACCCAGCGTATACAGGTGGGTCTTTTTGTCGCTGTAGAACTTCTTGAGGTCGACGTCGGCCCGCTTGGCGTGCTTCTCCTCCACGTCTTTGTTCAGGGGGTTCCGGTGGCGGAAGATGAAGTGCAGCTTGTAGTCCTCGCCGCATTTGTCGGGCCCGAACATGATGGTGTACGGCGTGTGGTCGTGGAACTGCTCCTGCAGCCAGAGAAACAAGGCTTTCAGGCCGGGAAACGTCTCAGTTTTTAGCCCCGACGTCAGCCAGAGTTTCTGGATGGACGGAGGCTTAATTTAGGTGGCCTCATCAGAAATGCTCTCCATGAAGGGGGGCTGTCAAGAAGTAATGAAGAAAGGAAACAGGGCGGAAAGGCATTGCTCTCCTAGAGGAATCAGAAGTGGACTGACCACCAGCTTTGATGGAGGGATGGATGTTTTTTAATACACCAAAAAAGCAAAAACAATGACAAAATGATCAAAAATAAAAGCAAAAAAAGAGCTAAAATGACCACAATAAAGCCAAAATTACCAAAATAGATAAATAATAGAGCTAAAATGACCAAAATATAGAAAGAAATAGAGCTAAATTGACCGAAATAGAGCTAAAATAGAGCCAAAATGACCAAAATAGACCAATAATAGCGCCAAAACAGACCAATGAAAGAGCTAAAATTACCAAAATACAGAAAAAAAAAGATCTAAAATGACCAAACTAGATAAATAATGACCAAAATAAAGCTAAAACAAAGCTAAATGCCACCTGTCTGGTGTTTAACAGCAGCTAAACCTTCCAGAGTTCCCACAGTGGGTCAGAAACTGAATGAAACCAGGAACCAACATGTGGAGCAGAAACGGGTGGAAAGGCCAGAGGAACCAGAAATGGACTGAACCCAGCAGCTCTGATGGATCCTCCAGAGCCAGAGCTCCACATTATGAAGCAGTGTGGGATCATCTGACAGAGAACGGAGCCAAAGGCAGCAGCAGCTTCCATAGAAGAGCTTTGGGACGTCCTCCAAGAAGCTGGAGAGCTTTTCCTGGAGGCTCCTCACAGAAAAGCTGGGGTTCACCATCCTGTACCTCTGAAAACCATAAACTTTAAAAAACCTACCAGGTTCAGACCCTCGGAGTCGGACAGCAGTTTGAGGTAAGCCCCCCCGCAGTCGATTCCATCCTGAAAATTCACCTCATACCTGCAACAGGAAGTCAAACGAACATCTTAAGAGCTGGTGCTCTCTTTTCCTGTAACAGGAAAAGATAAGCTTGAGTCGGTGTGAACGCACTGGAGGACCAGCGGCTCGTCCTGGAACACGAAGGGTTTGTCCAGCATGGCGGCGATGGCGTGGTGTTTGGCCCGGGACTTCAGCACCAGGCCCTGGTCTCCGGGGACTCTGTTCTCCTTCAGTGTCTCCACCGCCCACCTCCCTGCCGGCAGAGGGGGGAGTCCTCGTGTCAGAGCACATAGTTCGCACAGTGTCTTACTCTGCTGTTCGTCCAACTTCAAATACCCAAAGTTCCTCCGAGCAGCCAAACCTCTCAGGCCCTTTTTTCAAGATGTCGTCCTTCTCCTGGGCAGCATTGCCCCCAAAAACAGCTTTAACCCCCCCAAAACAGCTTTAAAACCCCTCAAAACGGCTTTATAAGCCCTCAAAACACCTTTAAAAGCCACAAAACATCTTCAAAATCCCCCCAAAAACAGCTTTAAAAGCTTCTCCTGGGCAGCATTTTCTCCCGATTACTGTTCAGAGCTTATAAGGTTTTACGGTTTAGCTGGAGAAATTATTTGCTGCAAACTTCACCGCGGCTTTGTGCCACTGCGAGCTTCTACGTGTGGCGCTGTTTAGATCTTATTGGCTATTCGGGGGTCTGTGAAAACTTTGATCAAACGTCTCCTTTATAATTCTAGAGAAATGTTACTTCGCGGATAAAATCAAAATCGAGAAATAGCCCGGCCCTACCTGTGAGGAATCGGAGGAGGAGGGTGGGGGGGGGCACTAACCGTCGTATTTGGCGATGTCCTCGTCGGCGTCCTCCTTCTTGGTCTTCGACAGCTGCCATCTGCGGAGGAGGGCGTCACAAACCTCGGCCTCACACACCTGAGGGCCTTCGGCCTGCGTGCTACGGGCGGCGGTTCTACCTGTCCAGCGAGCCGTCGTCAAACGTTTCGGCGAAGTAAACGTCTCCAGTGGGAACGGGAGTTTTGTAGGTCACCTGGAGACAAAAAAACACTAATAAAAATAAAACACTGCATCCTCAGAAATGACAACACAACTCAGGAAGTAATTTGCACCAAGGGCCAACATGCACTACCCCATCTCCATTCCCTTGATTTGAAGGTGGTCTAACTTCATACTTGACCAAAGGCTGATCTCTTAGTAATGTTGATCTGGCAACTGTTTTAAATTAGTATTTAGTATCTAGTATTCTAGTGCTTTTTATTACTTGTTATCCCCTAGTAATGTTGATCTGGTAACTGTTTTAAATTAGTATTTAGTGTTTAGTATTCTGGTGCTTTTTAGTACTTTTTATCCCCTAGTAATGTTGATCTGGTAGTTAATGGTAGTTAATTTAGTATTCTAGTCATTTTGTAAGATACTGTAAGATACTGTGTGAACTGTAGCGTATGTTGTGTTTAATGTCTTAAGGTGCTGGGACCTTGAATTTTCCCCTTGGGGATCAATAAAGTATCTATCTATCTATCTATCTATCTATCTATCTATCTATCTATCTATCAGACTTCGTTTGAGGACCCGTTTCTGACCTGAAAGGAGACGTCGGACTCCGCTCCGCTTCCGGCCGGCTCCTCGACCTGCTCGTCGTCCATCACCGTGGCCTCCTCCTCCTCCTCCTCTTCCTCCTGCTCCTCTTCCGCCATCAGGGCCCTCAGCTCCTCCTCGTCCAGGCCCAGGTCCTCGTCCACTTCTGCGGCGCCGCCGAACTCCGTCTGCTTCTCGAGGGCCGCCACTGCGGCCACGGCCAGAGAGGACAGGAGCAGCAGGCGCCACGTCCAGCCTCCAGCCATCTTCATCTGGGGCGGGGGGGCAGAGGGGAGGTGGGGATTACAGGGGCAGATCCTAATCAAACACTTTTATCATCAACCTGAGGTTAAAGGTCGAGAAACGCACTTTTTGCAGCTTCTTAAATCTGTTTCCTGTCTTTCTGAATCATTGCTTCACTGCCAGCTTTAGCTTTACTTTAGACACTCAATTTGCTAACCAGACAGCACAAAAAACTATCATCTAATTGTTGCTTATTTTTCTCCTTTTTTCATTATTTCAATTAGCTCCTTTAATAAATAAAAGGGAGAAATGAGAACAAATGAGTAATTGCGTTCCCTCGTTTTATTTTAGATGGCTGTTTTCAGAGAATTTGAGACATGCCCCCCCTTTATCACAAATGATCACACTTATATAAATTAGTAATGTGTCGTAAAATTGCTTTATTACATGTCTAAGAAAAGTGACAAAAGAGGTTAACTTTATCAACAATGGGAACGGTCATTTTTGGGGAAAGCTCCCTCAAAAGTATCTTTTACAAAAGGGTTTTTAAACAAATAATAACTTTAATAAACAGCTCTCAAAGATAAAGAGCTGCCAACACCACAGGTATCAACACAAATTAGGGGGAAACTACAGAGAACATCTAGATGATGTCATGACGTGGCTTTCTGACCACAAAACAAGAAAATGGCTTGATTAATTAGTCCATTTAATACCGAAAAAATTGAAAAATCATAAGACAAACATTAGTGAGACATGAGATTGCATATACTGGTTAAAGAAGTGAACAAACCCAGGCATCACATAGTCACCAGAGGAAGGCAGGATAGGATACACTTCTATTTTGGTTCGGTAGGTGGTTAACCTTATAAAAACCTTAAAAAGGAGACAATTACTGAGACCTCCTAAACGCGTTTCTTTACTCTCTGTAAAGATATTATATGACTTTACTGTGCCTGGCTTCAAAATGTGGATTAAATCTATTTAAAACAGGTTAAAAAAACACCTCAAGCGACACTGAGGCACCAGTGGACTTTTTCTTTAAAAACCTGCTTCATTCATCTTCTCTCAGGGGGCTCCACAGATCCTGATTCATATCACTGTGCCACAGGCAGACTTGTGCAAAACCTAGCAATCGTTTGAATAGATGCATTTACACCTGAATCAGGTGTGTTGAAACAGGGGAAACATCTCAAACATGCAGGGCAGTGCCCCCCCCAGAACTCCTGCCTTATCTGACTCACATCTTCTAACTGTGAATCCAAAGTAGCAATGAGTGCCTGCACGTTTTTATTAGGACAAAGCTAGTAAAATGACTCATCGTGTTTGCTATATCATGCTTACAAGCATAGCAACAACGTCTAAAATGTTATCACACCAAAGCAATTCCAGTTTTTTTCCATTATGGATACGACGTCCCTCCCCCATCGTCTGACTGCCGGTTTACAAGCAAGGAAAAAGACCCATTTTCGCCCACAAACGCTATAACTACAGCCCATTACGATTACAACCCGATAGGCCCTATAAAACGAAGTAAAATAAAGGTCATGGGGAGCAAGTGAGAAGTTAACATGGCTGCCACCGAGCACTGCAATGCCCAAACTCAGATGAACGGTCCGCAGCACCTGCTCCTCCGGCTAAAGCTAGCTGCCGTAGCCAGGCGCGCGCCAGCCACAAACATAAAAGGTTAGCAAAACAACCGATTAAAAGGGAAAAACGGGGCTAATACATGGGTTAAACATGCAGATAACCTGAATGCAGAAGCGGTAAGATTCGTGTTAAAAGGAATGTAGGTCAAAATGTTTAATGACCAGCAGAAATGAATGGATAGAAAGTGCTAGCTTGCTAACTTAGCGGGGATGTAGACTCTCATAGCGCACGCACAAACCTTGCGCCTTTTGGAAACTGTGGAGGAAAAAGGCCTTCCTTTGACACTGCTTCTCAAACACAAACGGCGGTGGAGTTGTGTGCGGTTAGTCCGCTTTTAGTCTCGCCGGTGAAGGGTAGGGAGAGGACGGGCTTCAGCTGAGGAGGATGGACCGTGAGTGACAGCTCGGCCCGAATAACGGCGACAGATTCAATTATGCTGCAAGACAGCATCTACTCATGCGCATGCGCGTCTCGCGCAGATGGAGACCGTGTATGATGCCTTCAGGATCCAGAGAATTCAAAACAAAGCATTAGTCCTGTAGTACAAGGTGCATCCAGATGCATATTCTTTAGCTAATGACAGAACTATTTGAGTCTTAAGGAGAAATAAATGTAATCATATTGGAGAAGATGCTGGATGAACAGCTCCGCGCAAGTAACTGGAGTTAGTCGTGAAAATTCCAAGTTGAAAGTGAATGCAGCATGAGTCGCGCGTTCGCTTTCAGTTGAAAGCTAACGTCAACATCATCTTGGCGGTTGGAAGACTAAAGATGTAATCAAACTAGTTAAGGAAAAAAATCGGTTTTAATTTTTTTTTTTTGCTGCCCCAACACTAACATTTTACTGATTATTTTTTTAAAAATTGAATAGTTAAAGTGATATAAATAAATAGGACTGCAATGGGACAAGAGTCAAAACATGTACATAACGCCAACATTTTTATATTTTAAATAAACACACTGAAACAGGAAATTAACTAGCTAGTCTTTTTCAATATTTTGGATAATACGATGATAAGGTTCACGACATTCATCCACTGCCGTAAATTGTGAACCTTTGCGCATGCGCGACCCGCACTGGTAAACATTAATGGTGCCCACATGGTTGTTTAGGAGTGAATAAAATCCTTTAAATAAAACTACAAACAACACAAACCGGCGGAATGAGGGACACCCCGTTGTCCAACTGCGAGAGGGACTTCTTGCTGAAAGCCATCGAAGAGAAAAAGGTGCGTTCAAGGCCTCTCTACTGTTAAAGTAAAGATGCTTTTTCCTGAACAAAGTACAGCTGAGTATTTTTTTTAATATTTCTTCTTGCGTGTCCGGAGCATTTCAAGATCACGACTCACGTAGTCGTTGCAACACGAATGTAAAGACAGACCATTGTTTTCCCACACTTCTGCCAAAAAAAAGAAAATATAATATAGTCATAAACCGTTTTAGATGAAACAATTAAAACGTCCAAATCCTGGACATCCATCGCCTCTGGTTGAAAGCTGATTTTCCAGTCTGGCATAAGATGTGCTCCGGATGCCTCCATCCCTTTGTCCAGTTGGGGAGTCATGGTTCACCTGCAGAGCTACTGAACTCTCACACCAGAGAAAATCATTTTTATGTGCTCATATTCAGGATATTTTAAGTAAGAACCACCAACAGTTCTCAGAAGGTGTTGTTTTGTTCAGTGGTCGGTTGATTAGAAGTTTTCCAGCTTTCTGGGAGCGTCTGTGTGAGCTCTGTGAGGCCCTGTCTGACCGGTGCTTCTGTCCACTGCAGCGGATCGACGGCCGGCAGACGTACGACTACAGGAGGCTGAAGATCCGCTTTGGGACGGACTACGGATGCTGCTTTGTGGATCTGGGACAGACCAGGTGAGTCTGTGGCCGGGTGTTTTCATTCTCTGCCGGTTAAAACTCTAATTTCTCTGTTTTAGGCCGGTAATTAAACGTCTCTGGTTGTTGCACGATGCCAAAAAAATGTCTAAATTCTGAGAAAATATTTAAAAGTGTGTTCATATGATAACTAGCAACATTTTAGACAGTTCGGACATTAAGAATTAGCTCTTAAGGTTAGAAACCAGGACGTGAAGGTGGACCTGTTTCTCTGGGGTGCGGCCCCCGTTTCTCAGACTCTGCCCCCCCTAACCCTAACCCTAACTCTAACCCTAACCCTAACCCTAACCCCCCCCCACAGGGTCATGGCGCAGGTGTCCTGTGAGCTGGTGGCGCCCAAAGACAGTCGTCCCAACGAGGGGG